ATTGTGAAGTGTATTAATTCCGAGAGCATATGTCGGGGGGGGGGGGGGGGGGGGGGGTTGAGGTTTTGTTATGTTTTAGGTTGTTTTTTTTTATTTCTCTTTTTAAACTTTTTATGTGCCACCACACTATAACCAATAGGTTGTTCTGGGGCATTATACAAATAAAGGATTATTATTATTATTATTATTGCTAAGCAAACAAAAACCAGGAGTGAGTCTTAGGTACTGTCTGTTCTCGCAGCAGCCGACAGAATTATTTCCACGAAATTCCACCGGCAGTCGCAATTCATTCATCGAACGACGTTTCATCGGCAGCTCAGAGTAGCTTTCCTATATTTGCTTCTTTTTTTCCCTTGTAATGAGCCGCCCCAGAGTGTACCCGCGAAGTGACGTGTACGGGTGGGAGAGGTGGGTTAACATTTTTTGTAATGAGCCGCCGCAGACTGCCATCACGAAGCGGCGTGAACGGGTGGGCTGGGTCGTTGAGCACGGCCACCCGTTCAGATACACGCGCGACAGAATGTTCCTACTGCGTGCATTTAACGTAACGAGTGACGATGAAACGCTAGTGTTGATGAAACTTTTCTACAAAACGTGTATCAACAAAACGTGCTTTCAGAAAATGCCGGGAGAATAATACCCGTGCCACACGGGCAACTCGAATGCCATTTACAACGAATGACATTTGTGTGATCGGCGAATCAGCTCGCAATCTGTCGCGCGTGGAATGCGCTAAGCCCGGAGTGTCGCGCGCTGATTGGCCGTCCGCTCGAATGTCATTCGCTGTAAATGGCATTCGAGTTGCCCGTGTGGCACGGGTATAAATTAGTATTCTACCTGCAGTCGTCACATGATTGTAGACAGCTAATGGCAGGCGACTGCCGATAGAATTTCGGGGAAATTATTCTCCCGGCTGCTAGAAAATAGACACTGCCTAATTCTAGAGGTAATCCGGAACGGAAAGGTCAATTGTTGCAAAGGAGTAGTGCACTTTGTTGCAAAGGAGTAGCGCACTTACGATGAAAATATTGGACTTGAAATTGGAATTCCGAGATATATGTCGACACGGGCACTGCAGATCCACACAAACACAAAAACGAAAAGAAAGGGGTCCGTGAAGATTCAACACGATCTGGCTGAAGCGGCAATTTGCCGAATCGACCACTGAACGCATCACATGAATTCCTTGGGCTTTTCTGAAGAAATCGCTTGTTGCCGATATATGCGTAGGATGTTTCAAACACTGGAAATCTTGGTACACTCGAATACGTTGTCGCGGACGAAATCTACGGCAGCCCCGCTGGTCGCAGCACAGCACACAAGAAACTAGGCCGGGAAGCAGACATTCCGAGGTCGGAAAAAATACTATATCATCCTTGAAACCTTTACCACGTGATCACGCTCCTGCCGTTACCCGCGCTCAGACAGCGGAGTGAAGGGATGAAAAAGCCTCCGGTTCATTGGTCCGGCTACTGCGCACCTTCTTCCACACTTTCAGCTTAGGGGGAGAAAGAAAAAGAGTGGAGTAGAAAAATAGCAGCTCCTTCAAGGCCAAAAGAGGGGCGCCCTCTTTTGTTAGTAGTGCAGTGGATGCTGTCCGTTGCCTTCGCCTTCAAGCAGGTGCCGTGCTCTGCTTTACCTCTAGCTTAGAGACTGTAGTCACGTGATCCTACCCGGAGACCAGATTGGCCTAAAACAAGCATAGCGTCCACTCTACTGTCAATACCGAGTGAACAGGACAGCTCCATACTTCCTAAGGAACTGCCAAACCCAAAAAGTGACCCCCAAGGGGGAATCCAAGCACAAGCTGATCGGGGCGCGCGGCTAGCGTGGCGGTGCACTGATACACCGAGAGGTTTTTAAGGGAGAGGAGGATACTCTTTGTCGGTGCACAAATGCACTGGCTGGGTAACGGAGGGTGCATCTTTCAGGAAAAGGGTGCATGTGCGCCTGATGCACCCGACTACACCCTTTTTTTCTTAGAGTGCAGCTCAGATTTGTGTAGCGAAATTCACCTTAACTGACGCAAATGCCCACTCTTTGCATATGTTTGTGGCTCTTTGTGTGTTCGTACGCGTTTTCGAGTTTGTGCTGTTTTATGTGCAGTTTTTAAGTGTCATTACATCTGTGCCCCAGTGCTATTGCGTTTTTGTTTCTTTCTGGAATAAAATAACTTCCGTTTGTATATAAGTGAGATTTTCCATGTACGTACTGGAAATATCACCATATATAATGCCAGCTTTTTTATATACGAAGCCCGCGCAGATTCTAGTACAATGTATTTTCTTTTTTTTTTTTAGAAACAAGATTTTCCGTCACTTCATCTTATTATATCAGGATTACCATGCCAGACAACGAACACCTTACGCGTAGTTTCGGAACACACAGAAAGAATAAAACACGTGAAGGACGAACACTGACACACACAGTTCTTTCAGTAAGCAACGAATATTTATGAGATGCCCATGACGCTACGACCTTGAACTCAAAAGAATATTTTTCTGTATTTTTTACAGCGAAGAGAAACAAGGATTGTATGCCCCTCACGAGCAGTGTATCTGAAAGAGGATGTCGGCAAAAACACATAGCCTTATTTCCTCAAAAGCATCTCTCTATGTTGAATCTCCGCCAGCCCTTCAGGATTGCGAACTCCACAGAGCTCATTTCCAACCTTACCTCTCTACACGTAACCACAAAGCCACACTCCATATTTTCATTAGATATAGAAGACCTTTACTACAGCTTGTACCCCAGAATTTTCTTGAATTCCGTTTTTGATGCTATTCTTAAGCACGGTTCATGCGAGTTACAAAATACAACAGGGATCTTCACAAAAAATTTCACTAATTCCCTTACCGTAAACCTTCAGTCCACGCTTGTTGAACACAACAAAAAACTTTTCAGACATAAGAAAGGTGTCTGTATAGGCTCATGCCTAGCCCCGGTGCTCAGTGAAGTCTTTCTCGTGTACATAGAACGAGCCGTGAAGTCCCAACTTGATGTTATAGCTCCCAAAGCGGAGTGTTCCGATATATTGATGATTATCTAGTTGTTCATCCGTCATCAGTCTCTTCGCTGGCCATTTGTGAAGCCCTGAATTCTTGCTTGTCGGGTCTCAACTTCACGAGTGAAGAACCAACAGATCAAGGACTACAGTATTTGAATTTAGAACTTCATCTTCATCCTCAAGAACTAGGCTGGAGTTTCCAGCAACGCTCCAAAAAACCTGTTTTTCGGTTTTGCAGTATCCACCTCAAGTCGGTAAAGCTTGGAATCATCCGAGCCCTCTTTGCCTCTTCTCACTTGAAATCCGGTTCACACCTCTCACGAGAAAGCGTCCTACATCAGCATGACCGCCTGGTCCAAGCCGGTTATCCAGCTGACCTCCTCCGTACAACCCTTCAGCGTCTCATCACGGACCCCATCCGTCCTCCACTGAAACAAAATAGTCATTCACGTCCGGTTTGCATTCCATACGTGCACAACACCGCCCACCACCTGAAGACTCTTGCTGCTCGGTTCGACACGAAGGTGATCTTCTCTTGAATGAGGGTGAATAACTGTAGTCGAACACCCGAATGCCCCATCAAGCACTTCAACAAGTTTGTTAACTGGAAAGATAAGCCAATTTATTCGATTCCATTGAGTTGCAGAGGCAAATACATGGGACAGACTGGAAGATGCCTAAATGTTAGCCTTAGGGAGCACCATTTAGAAGTTAGCAAGGCATCATCGGACTTATTCCACCCAATAGTTGTGCATGCCCGTATCTGCCACGATTGCCCCCCAAACTTTGAAAACACCACTGTTCTTGATTCACACAGAGATAAGTGTGGGCGTGAATAATTGGAGCGTTTAAGAACAAATACGCCGCGAACAATGTCTCTGAGCCTTCTTTGGCCTTATCGTCAAAAGAGCCTAAAAACCAAAATTATCGTAAAATGTTTTTTTGTCAATTATTAATTTTGCCTTCTTTTTCTTTTCTTTTTTTCTTCTTCCTTTTCTCTTTTTTCAGGGGTTAAGTTCCTTCCTTTATTTTGTTCTGTGTAGGGGTTAATTTCTATAATTTTTCCTATTATTCTAAATTGGTATTTTTTTAAATTTGTGAGTAATTTGGTTTCATTTTAAAATTTGAATATTCTCGTTCTCTTTCAATTCTTTTGAGTTCAAGGTCGTAGCGTCATGGGCATCTCATCAATGTTCGTTGCTCATTGAAAGGACTGTGCGTGTCTGTGTTCGTCCTTTACGTGTTTTATTCTTTCTGTGTATTGTGCAGTTTTCAACGCACTCTGCTACGTTTACTTCCCGTTGCTTCGTTTTGGTTTCAATATTCGCTAGGTGGCGTGTTCAAATATCGAGAGGTGTGTGGCGGCAAACTCCCATCGTATGGCTCGATTTGTTTAAATTATTTTATAAGTTTGTGCAGCAAGTTTGGCATATTCCGATTTCCGGCATTCTCGGTTTAATTATGCTTGCTTGTGTTACGATTAGAGTTAGCCAAAATATAGGTATTTACTGTTTTATGTTTTAATAATTACCCGTTTACGTAATTTTCTCAATATCACAAAGCTTAAGAAGTAACCATATATGTAATTGTAATAAATTACCGCTATAGAGTAAATTATTACAGTACTAAACGGCCTTCTAATTGACCAATTATTTATATTAGGCATCACTACAGACGGGTATTAAAAACTTAAGTTCCACTGCAGAAGTGTCACGAGTACAGCACCATGGGTAATATCTCGGTTCCACGTTAATCTTTGGTCCTTTGCTTGCGCTTGAAAATTGCAGCGGTTCATTCTCGCGGTGCTCTGGGGTGATTCGATGTGCGAGCATTTCTTAAGGTTTCATTTAAACCACTCAGTTACGTAATATCCCATGTGCAATTATGTTCAACAAAATCAGCATTGAAATTGAAGACGTTCATTACAGAACGTTTACAAATGTCCACGTCGTACATTTAACGCACATCTTCCTTCTCATTTCTTTTCCAATAGAAGTCAAGCAGCCCAAGAACAGGCCCCTATGAAAGCTGATGAGTCCTGCACTGCCTGTGAAGCACAAGTTAAACGGTATGTGCTCTCGTCCTCCAGCAGAACAAGCATGCACAAAAGCAGCCTTGACGCATGTGCGCATTATGCAAGACGCACGGCTCGCATTTCGTTGAGGCTTGAGGTGCAGCTCGAGCACCGCTGGGACGCGTGCATCTATCATTTCGCATAACTCCGTGGAAGTGCTTGATCACTTTACTCATCCTAAAAGATACGAAAAGTCGTCTTTATAAGCAAACGCGTTCCACTTGTTTTAGGGGCGAAGCTCCTTAGGGTCTAGCTTTGTCCGGCGTCCGTGCTCACATCGATTGCCATCCCATCAGTCTTAAAAAAAAAAAAAATGTTTGCGCAGTTGACAGGATCGAACCTGTGCGGGGAGACCCCCTTTTGGCCTTCTAGTCCATCGCCTTTACCACTCGGCCACGACAATGGGACGAGTAGGGGGCTCTGAGATGTGGTAGTTACTCAAGAGCTGGGGATGTCATGGATGAAACGTTGCATGTCGCCGCTCAACGTCTGTACAGGAGAGGGCGCTGCGGTCAAATGCGTATATAATCGCGTTGAACTTTGCATGCCTTGGCTCAACGATTATAGACGAAAGGGCGCTGCGGTCAAATGCTCAAATGCGTATACGCCTCGCAAGTGGGCTCATTTTCGTCTTCTGCGCATGAGAAAGGAAGTAGCGGTGACGTCAGAACGCCGAGCCCTGATTGGCTGATCGCGACCCCCTATCTGAGCGTCGTCTGCTCCTTTGCAACGTCGTCTGCTCCTTTGCAACGTCGTCTGCTCGCAACGTCGTCTGCGTCTGTCTTATACGCCTCGCACGTGGGCTCATTTTCGTCTTCTGCGCATGAGAAAGGAAGTAGTGGTGACGTCAGAACGCCGAGCCCTGATTGGCTGATCGCGACCCTCTATCTGAGCGTCGTCTGCTCCTTTGCAACGTCGTCTGCTCGCAACATCGTCTGCGTCTGTCTTATACGCCTCGCAAGTGGGCTCATTTTCGTCTTCTGCGCATGAGAAAGGAAGTAGCGGTGACGTTAGAACGCCGAGCCCTGATTGGCTGATCGCGACTCCCTATCTCAGCGTCGTCTGCTCCTTTGCAACGTCGTCTGCGTCTGTCTTACCTTTCCTGCGACTTTCGGAAGTCGAGCGAGCTCGACTTCGTCTTTCAGAGAGCGCAGACGAAATAACTCGAGCGGTACGTTGTTTTTGTCTAACAACTAGCAGACGCGCATCAAGGAGAGAAGTCAAAGGACTCACTGGCGATGTGTCCCGAGGCGCCGAGGTTTGTTTGCTAAGAACCGAGAGTGAGCGTGTTAGTGTCCGCAGGTCCCCTCCCAAATACTTTTTCCCTCTTTTCGTGTGCGGCGAGACCCCTCATTCTTTAACGGCGTCGGCGGGTTGGCGCAGTTAACGTCGTCTGCTTTACGTCTACTAGTCAAAGCGATGGCTGCTTTACCTTTCCTGCGTCTGTCGGAGATTCACCACTTTTTCACCGGCGAGAGTCACCGTTGCCTCGAGAAACAAGGAGATAACAAGAGGAAGAAATTGACCTCTTAATCTACAATTGAGGTCAGCGATCAAAGCATAATACGGGAAGGGTTCACAAGGGTCGCGCGGGCATATTCCATTCAACACGCCAGCCGGTTGTGGGCAGACGGTCGCCGAGTCGCGGAGTGCCTGCTAGGCCTAACTGCCGAAGCTCGCTCGGTCGCAGTCGGTGGAATCGTGGACGTTGGAGCTTTTTCCGAGTGTTTGTGGATCCAGCGTTCTTGTTCGTCGTGGTCTGTTTCAAGTACTTTTACTTTTTTTCTAGCTGCTTGAAGTCGGGACGCGTGAGAAGCACACGTAATAAAAATAAACGTCCGTGGGTCGTCGCGACCGCGACGCTGTCGGCCATGCTGATTTGATCGTAAGAAGTGCGTAAGACAGCTTCGGAGCTGTCGTAGGATTTTGTCGTAACCTGCGCAAAACTTTAAAAAATTTCGTTTCGTGAATACGAATATGTTCTGAAGTTTTGTCTTACGCACATTTTTGGCGTAAGATCGTTTCGTGAATCTGTCCTCTGCACTTCCGAAAGTCGCAGGAAAGGTAAGACAGACGCAGACGACGTTGCGAGCAGACGACGCTGCAAGGGAGCAGACGACGCTCAGATGAAGGGTCGCGATCAGCCAATCAGGGCTTGGCGTTCTGACGTCACCGCTACCCCCCTGCACAAGAAGCAGACGAACTTGCCCTCCGCATAGAACCACGTTCCTTACCACAGAATCTCTTTCTGACATGAGTGAAAACGAACAAAAGGCTCGGCATGCTGCGGCTCAGCGTCCACGCAGACAAGCACCACCAGAGCTTTGCCCCAATCAACATCATTCACCAGGTGGAGATGCGGTCATTTTTTTATGATTTTTACGTCAGAGGTAAAGTCAAAGCAACCCGACACGACGACGTTACGCGACGCCAAGATGCGGCCGTAAGGCCTTCGTGACATCGCGTCGCGTCGAGGACGATGCCATTTGGCGACATCAAGTCGCCGTTGTAACGCGGTCGTGAAGTCGCGTTGAAGACGACGCCGTTACGCGCAATCAAGTCGCCGTTGTGATGCGGTCGTGACATCGCGTCGCGTTGAGGACGACGCCGTTACGCGACATCAAGTCGCCGTTGTAACGCGGTCATGACGTCGCGCGCCGCATCGAGCACGACGTGGACGTGGTCGTCAATGCCGACGTTGACGTCGACGCCCTACGCAACGTCAAACATCGCTAGGACGTCACGTTAACGTCATCCTGACGTCATCGTTAACGTCACATTACGACAAAGCCTTGAAGGGGTGTAACGTCTTCGCCTTCGCCAGCAGCAACGTCAACGCGCAGTCACGACGAAGTCTTGACGTCGTGTAACGTCATCGACGATGACGTCGACGTCGTGAAGCTGTCGGGACGTCTTCGTGACGTCGAGTTGCGTCATGTCGACAACGACGTCAACGAACTGACACGAAGCGTCCTTATGACGTTGCATTGACAAGGACGCCGTCATCTTGACGTCCCGTGACGTTGTTGTCGTCGTCATCAACGTCAACATCGTCGTCGTTGTCAACAAAATATGACGTCAGAAAGCAGTCTTCATGTCGTGTGACGCACGTTGACATCAAGGCGTCGTCCTGATGTCGCATGGCGTTGTGACCACAAGTCAGGTCGCGGTGACTTTATGTACGTGACACCTGACGTCTAGGTTGTATAAAAAATATAGTCCGGCGTTCTATCGTTTCTATGACCTTGACCAGTATGTCGGTCAAGCCTGGCGTTGGAACGAAACGCGTTTTTCATAAAAAGTGGCTTGGATTATACTTTTTTTTTCACATGGGGAGGTACCAAAATAGCACTCCAGTGGCCCCACTCGTTCTTTCTAGTACACTCTACTCTGGTAACTTGGTGACCGCGTGGCGGCAGTGAGGTACAACAGGAAGCGGTGAGCGAGGGAATGGCGGGACCACCACTGGAACAAACAACAGGAGCGGTCGGTTTGGGAGGGGCGCCATACTTAGGCTCCATCTATCGCCGTGCGAGTGCAGCGCTCGGTGCGCCGAACATGTGGTCGCCGCGTCGGACAGAGAGGTATCACCTACATGTTTCTTTCACCGCGCCCTAAACACAAGGACACTGAGGCACCCTAGCTCAACTGATTCCCGTAGCAAAATAAAAAAAAAACACACAAAAAAACATTTTGCATGCTTGAGCGATCCCTCGCTCTTTTGGCACGTGGCCTTCGCACGATGGCCCATTCAAAAAAGGACGGTGGTCCAACCAGAACGATGGCCATTCAAAGAAATGCAGTGGACAGACGCGCTGTGAATGAGTTTCTCGCGTAATGTGGGAAAAGCAGCGCAGCACAGGGCACTGCAAAGATTGCCGTGTGCCGTACACAAGGACCAACTCGAACGCCGGCAACGTGGTTCTCGAAGACGGTACGGTGGTACACTCTAAACAATAAGGACTTTATGTCCTTATTGCTTACAGTGTTCCGTGTCCCCCACCACTGGAGCCTTCGAAGCATTCTTTGAAGCGCGCGCGCCGCAGTCACGGTGTCACTCATGCGCGCGCTTAAAAGTATGCATCAAAGGCTCCAGTGGCGCGCTACGCGGAACACAGTAACGGTTTTCTAAAAGTCCTGTCTAATATAACAAGAAATATCCGGAAAATTTCGCTCAAAATGAAGAAATTGTGCTGTTAAATTAAAATACAGACAAGGTTATCGTTTAAAAAACGGGGCTTATGCTATTCGTCGAGAACAAAAAGTTTTGGTAAATAATCAGTCTAAAGGGACTTGTGGTATAGGTAAACAAACAAGAAGTTATACTACACTAAAAAACGTCCTTTTTTTAAATAAACGCTACAAAACGTGTCTTTAGCTGTAAGCAAACAGGGCTTCTGTTATTTCTACAGTTCCACAATAATGTTTGGTTTATAAAAAGGGTAAACAAACTAAGATCTGTATAGAGAAACACAACTTGCCTCATTTCTTCAAACCGGATGATCATTAAATCAGTAAATGAAGTCATAGCTAAAAAAAATTATTTTATGAAGGAATGTTCGCACTCGCAATACATGGTATAGTGCTATTGGGTTCGAATGAAATGCGAACAGCAGAGCGCGTGGCCGTCGACACATGCTGAGCCTCCTGGTGTGCGTCCTGGGCATACACCCATGTCTTCGACCGTCGCCCAGCACAACCTAAGCTTCGACGCTGTGCCTCTGGTGCGCTACAAGTTCCGTCGCAGTCACTTTCCTTGGCTCGACACGAGACACGCGATGAATCTCGCCGCTCACAGCAGGAACAGGCTGCTTTCGCGCGCGCCTTGCGCCAGCGTCCGTAGATCATGACCGCAGCCATAGCCTCCTCTATTCGGGGAAAGCCCGGCACGTCGCGAAAAAAAGTGGCCGCCGAAAGTAGGAGAGGAGGGGCGGGGAATCGGGAGCGGAGGAAACCTTCTTTGCTAGCGCCACCACACAAGAGCGAGCGGCCAA